AGGAATGAAGCAAACACTGCCTTCCATCAGCTAAGGGTCTAAATATTTCAGATTTACAGCCCCTACATGCAGCTGGCCAGGGTTTGCTCTGACCAAGGGGGGTTTGGTCGGGCTGGGGACAGGCAGAGCCACAGCAAAGTGTGGAGATGAAATGCTGGAATGAGCAGCTCCATCTCCTGCTGCTCTGCCCTCAAACTCTGACCCATGGGAGGGGCTGGGAGGCAGTGCCAGGCCCAGGCACAGACCCTGTGCAGGGAGAAATGCCTGTCCTGGAGCTCTGGCAACAGCCGGGACTTGGGAGCCTGGGCAGTTGTGGAACTCTTCCATTTGCCTGTCCTTGGTGGGGAGGGTGGTCTTTCCCTTCCCTTCCCTTCCCTTCCCTTCCCTTCCCTTCCCTTCCCTTCCCTTCCCTTCCCTTCCCTTCCCTTCCCTTCCCAAACCTTCCCTTCCCTTCCCTTCCCAAACCTTCCCAAACCTTCCCAAACCTTCCCTTCCCAAACCTTCCCTTCCCTTCCCCTCCCCTTTGGTCTGTGGGATCTGTTGTCCTCGTGGCCCAGAGGAACACCAGGACAGGGGGCTCAGGCTGTTGTGTCCTTGTTTCCCAGTGTGGGAGTGCTCCCCAGCTCTTGGGAATCAGCCCTGGATCAGCCTGGGGGAGCTCTGCTCAAGTCTGAAGCACCTGGAGAGGGGTGGGGTTTGGTGGGGTTTGGGAGGCTGAACTTGGGCCTCACCCCCCTCACAGACAAGAATTTGCTCCCAACATCTGCTGTGAATTCCCCAGGGCTGCAGGGCCATCCCAGGGGGATGCACTGTGCAGCGTGGGGGGTTCTGGGGAGTGCAGGAGCTCCTCCAGGAGCAGCAGGACCTGGGGAGGTTCAGCACCCACCCTCCTCACCCCTTTGGTGGGCAGCAGCTCCCCTGTGCTGGTCTGGGCTCTGGAACCACGAGAGGAGAAGGTTCCCCAGCCCAGAGGAGCAGTTCTGACAGGCTGAGGCTGAGCTGGGCTCCCAGTTCAGCTCCCAGCCAGAGGGACTGAGATGAATAATGGATCAGCTCCTCAGGAAGCTGCGTGTGGAGTCAGAGAGCTCTGAGATGCACAGATCTGTACCCTGAGCCTCCTCCTCCCGCCGTGTCTGCAGCTAATTGGAGAGAGGGTCAGGCAGGGCTCGGTTAGGAGGGTAATTTTGGAATACACAGCTCTGTAATTGCTTTACTCTCGTGGTTTGAGACGTTATTATCGGGATTCAACAATGGAATTACAGCCTTATTAATCTGCACACGTTGTGGGGGAGGAGATGAGATGATTGCCTTTCTTTGGGGGTGATGGTGGGAGAGCTCCTGGTGCAGCTCCCGCTCGTTCTCCAAGTGGGATCATGCACTGTCTCCTCTCCAGCTCCAGAGATGTTTCTATTCCTGGCTCCAGGCCCTGTCTCCAGTGTAGGGAATGACAGTGGAACGGATTTCAGTGATAGTGAGTTTGAGTGATGTTTTTATAACACCCTGTGAAGCTGCTCCTGTCTCTGGAGGGTTTTTGAGACATGACACCAGCAGCAATGCATCACCTGTTCCCTCCAGCTAAAGAACTACATTGGGGGGTCTCTGGTCACCCCCATGGACTGAAGGGATTCCCTCCTGGAATTTCTCATGAATCAAGGTCAGATTTTGATTGGAAAATGAGCCTTTTTTGACGTGAGACCCAAAGCTGAGAAGTTGGGTTTGGGAAGCAGATGCAGGGAAGTGAAGTATCTTTGCTCTCACATCTCTCATGAGCTGTATTGGGGCTGATTCCCCAAGTGTCCCCCGGGTTCAGAGCTGACTGAATCCATCATCTGAGGTCCAGACCAGCCATGTCCCAGAGCTCCACCCCAGGAAAAATGGGCTGCTTGGACCTCCCTCCTCCCTGGGGCTCTCTGGGTGTGCAAACACCTCCTGAGGGGCTTCTGCAAATTCCTGCTCTGATAATTGAATTGATCAGGATGTCACTGATTGGTCTCCTGCTGATGAAGTGTTGGCTGAGGCTGGAGCAGTTTCTGATATTCAGAACCCTTCTCAAGCCCAGGCAGCTCCTTTGCCAGCAGGCAGCTTGTACCTGCAGCCCAAAACACCTTGGCTGGGTGAAGGGATGTCAAACCACCCTGAAGATGTGGCAGGACCAGCCACCTCCGTGGAGAAAACAAAAAATATTCCCTGTGGAGCATCATATCTGGGAATCTAAGTGCAGAGTTTCCCAGCTGCAACTCCCAGCCCCCTCCAAGACCCCTCAGAACCAACTTGGACAACTGGTTGACTCCATCTCAGAGGTCTTTTCCAACCTTTTCCAGCTGATTCTGTGACTCTGATCCTGCTTTGTCACAGCTCCTGACTGGGGTGTTTGCATTTATTGCATGGCATAACTGTGCAGGGTGGGGGTCCTGAGAGCCTTTTTGCATGTTTTAGTGCTGGCTGGATTGATCTACAATTAAACATGGTCACACCCATGCTGGGTGTGAGAAATGAGCTCCCCTGGCAGAGCTGGCAGTGGAATTAGGAGCCAGCTCCTGGAAGGCAACAGTGAGCAATGGTTTAATTCTTTTCCTTGTGGAAGAAGTAGGAGTGGAAATGGAAGCTGCTGGGTTTTTTTCCCCAATTATGAATGTTCAAGTTGTTTATGAGGCAAGATGACAACAAACTTCCTTTCCATTTAATGAGCTGAAGAGAACTGGAATTGGGGTGTGAGCCATGAAAACAGGGGTTCTGCACCTGCATTTTAATGGGCTCCAGAACTGTGGGGTTAAAATGTCTTTCCTTGCATTTTTAGAGGTTCGTGGCCTCAGTCTGATCATGCACTTACCTGCATTTTTAGTTTCCCATGAGTACCCAGGGTTTATCCCTGTCCAGCATGACTTGCAACTGCTTTTCAAAGTCCAACAGAATCTGAAAGAGTGTTTAAAGCATTTGGGCTTGGCATGGGGGGCTGGATGGGGGGCTGGATGTGAAGTAAAGATGTAGTTAAGCAGTCAGGTGGACTTAGTCTTGAGAATGGGCTATTACACAGGTTTTACTCCATGTTTTTAGGCAATATGAAGGGTTAAAACTCTGCCTGATTCAAACTTCATAACATCTGTTAAAATGTGACAGCAACAGAACGGAGAAGTTCTTAAGCTTTTTGTCTTCAAAGAGGAACCAACTTTGAAGAATGCTTTGCACAGGGATCGCCAGAAGTGTGACACTTTCTAAATAACAACCTCCTCACGTTTGTTTTTCGTTTTCCAGCCTTGATTTGGGCTGTTGAGCAGTGAAAGGATGAGTCAGTGACTCTCACACCCCCCCTGCCAGCCTTGGCACTGCTCCCACCAGTCTGGGAGAGCCTGGGGCAGGGTGGGCTGCCCCTGGGGGGGAGCAGGGGAGCTTTCCCTGTGGATTCCCCCCCCCCCCCCCCCGTCAGTGCCAGAGGATCAGCCCTGGCGAGCTGGGGATGAGAGATGACTCCGCCAAAAGCTCTGCAAAGGGACTCATTAAGGGGAGCAGTTTTCCTCTGTTTCCATTGCTCACAGCAGCCTAATTGGGAAGCAAAGGCATTTTCACTTGGAGAAGGATTAATTTGAAGTGATAAATGCCCCAGTTTCGGGTTTTCCTTGCCCTGCTGCAGGGACACTGCTCAGCCAGGACAGGGCTCGGGCTGAGCTTCCAAAGCAGCTCTGAGTGATGGGGCATTGAACTCAGCAGGGGCTGAAGAGGCTCCTTGGCTCAGAAATTCACTCCACGAACCCTCAGGACAATTCTCCAGAGCTGCCCAGAAAAGCAGTGTCCTCCCAGAGGGAAAACTGAGCAATATCATGGAATGGTTTGGGTTGGAAGGGACCTTAAAGAGCATCCCATCCCACCCCTGCCATGGGCAGGGACACCTCCCACCAGCCCAGGCTGCTCCAACCTGCCCTTGGACACTTCCAGGGATCCAGGGGCAGCCACAGCTTCTCTGGGCAACCTGGGCCAGGGCCTCCCCACCCTCCCAGCCAGGAATTCCTTCCCAATATCCCATCTCTCCCTGCCCTCTGGCAGTGGGAAGCCATTCCCTGTGTCCTGTCCCTCCAGACTCCTCGTAAATAGTCTCCATCTTTCCTGTAGGGTCCCTTCAGGTCCTGGAAAGCCACAATAGGTCACCCTGGATCCTCCCCTTCTCCAGCCTGTAGGGTTCTGGAGGTGCAGAACAGACACAGAGACACTCCAGCTCTCAGTGTCCTTCAGTGTCCTCTGTTCATGGGGAAGGAAGTGCTGGTCCTGCTCATGGATAAAGGATCCATCTTCTCTGCCCTGTCCCCAGGTGCCACCCCAGTGCTGTCCCCTCTGTTGCTCCCCCAGGATGTGACACAGCTGCACATCTGGAACCAAAGGTGAGCAGCACAGTGTTTCCAGTGTTTCTTTCTGACCTGCAAGATAAAATTCTCAGACATTTTACTACTTCACCATTATCATTCTTCTGTTTTATGAGAAATCTTTATTTGATTTTTTTTTTTGAAATATTCTTTTATGCAGAGAGGGGAAAAAACCTTTTATTACTTTACTGCTTGAGATCAGGATTAATCTTTAAGAAATTGGTGCCCACTTTATGGCCTGTGTCTGATTTATCTGCCTTGTCTTAGAAGAGCACAGTTCACCTGGACACCTCAAAGCTCAGGGATGTGTGGTTGGAACCTATACCTGGAATCACAGAATCAGTGTCCCTTATATAACATAGAAAGGATCTTATATTTTTTGAATATATATATGTGTGTGTATGTATATACATATATGCAGCCCAACTAAATCTGAGTGATCTCACCCATCCCAACCACTTCTGCCTTCTCCCCCACCCAGCTGGAGGGGATCCATGGACTTCCCTTTCCAGTGGAGCTGGATATGGACAAAAAAACCCATTAAAAATATCCTTATTTCTAATAGTGTGTGATGCATTCAGGCTGTGCCCCCAGGCCCGTGTGAGGCAACAAGCAAGGTCACAATTAATCACAATTAACGTGCTGGAACTTCCAATGCTGGAGCAGATCCAGCTATTGCCATGCTGCAGGAGCTGCAAGTGCTGTGCATTTCTTCTCACACCAAACACCTCAGATGCTTCAAATTCCCAGCATTCCAGGTGCTGCACAATTCCTCAGTAACAGCAAAGAATTTCAAGCAGCTTTTGCACAGAGATCAGGTTTGCAGGGAACTGCCTGGGGTAGTGCTTAAAAAAGTGACAGAAAAATCAGCTGAAGAGCAAGGGAGGTAGGGGATGGAATTCCTTCTTTCCCACTTACACCAAGTTTAGTGGAATCACTAAAAGTGACTGAACTGCAGGTTTCTCAAGCTCAGACAGAGGCAGAGCACAAAGATATTCTCAGCTCTCTGAAAGGTTCCCAGGGGGTACCCAAATCAACATTGCTTTTATATGCAAATCCTGGTTATGACTTTAAAAAGTACTGCTGCAGGATGCACATCTGTGATCCAGGGGGGGTTTCCCCCTAACTTCACCATTTTAGTGGGATCTGTAGGTGTGTGAGGGTTCCTGAGGTGGACTGCGCTTGGGTGGGTGTGATGGTGCTGATTCCATCCCTCACCCGAGTCCTTGGACCTTTGCTGAGAACTCAGTGGGACCATTCCATGGTCTAAAATATGGGATTGTTCAGTTAGTTTTTTTCTTCAAGTCTCAGTATGACCATAACCCACCACCTCTGGGGGGTCACTGTGGTCCCAGCGCTGCTGGAGTGAGTTGGCACTAAAAACATACTAAAAATAGGGATATTTGTGGGTGGAGATAAAGATGCCATGCCTGTAGCACTAATCAAAATACTGATAGATGTGGAAACAAAGGCAATCCTTTGGATTTCAGTGGACAGCCTGTGCACTGTGATGCTCCCAGCACAGTGGGACTGCAGCCCCATCCTAGCAGGCCCAAGCTCTCCCTTTAGTCAGAGGAGCACATTTTAGAACTTGTTCTTTTTATATAGGACTATCCTTTCCATAATTGCACGTGTGGAACCTGTGGAACCCCGTGCCCTTGGGCGTCAGAAAGGCTGAGTAGATTTGGAAAAAGAAAATCGGAAAACCCCAGCCCCACGGAGATCGTAAATCCCGGAACAGTTGGGGCTGGAAGGGACCTTAAAACTCATCTCATCCCACCCACCAGGTTGTTCCAAGCCTCATCCAACCTGGCCTTGAACACCCCCAGGGATGGGGCAGCCACAGCTTCTCTGGGCAACCCGTGCCAGTGTTTTACCACCAGACACGTCTGGTTAGTCAGAGCTTTCTAATCCTACACAACTTTCCAAGGAAAAGAGGATTTTTTTGTTGTTGTTTTCTTCTTTCTGACTCTAAACATAAATTTTCTTTCTTCCTTTTTTCCTCTCCCCCTCGGTGAGAAGGCCCTGGAAATGCTGTCTCCTGCAGTTTTCCATATCAACATCATCCCCAATTTCAGACCAATTTGGCTGAAGGAGTGTGTTTGACAGGGAGGTGCAGCTGTAATCTCTCAGGCCTGGCCGGGGATGCCAAATAAATCTATATCTCCCTGACAATTATATCTTCACAAAAGCTTTGGAAAGAACAGCCAAGAAAGCTTGTCAATAAGTTCACTTTGTATTAGAGGAAAGTCCTCTGGAAAGCCCAGGGAGGCAGCGATTCCTGACGGATCCCTGGAGGTGCCAGTTAGAAACAGCTTTTTATGGACAAACTTGGATTTGGGAGGGAATTTTTCCTAACAAAGCCCTGGCTCGAGTCGTTTCACAGCACGTCCATGAGAGCAGATATGAAGTAAATACAATTTTTCCTTGAGTCAAGTAAATTGGCTTAAATGCTCGTGCTGATGGCACAGGAACACTGCACCAAAGGATAATGAGCCAGAGGCTGGGAGAGGGAACAGGGCTCAGCAACAACTCCTGGGAGTGATGCTACAAGGCAAGAGGGAAGTTATTTCCGAAGTCAAATCTGAGATTAATTAGTGTGACGTGGGATCCTGTTCCACAGGAGAGCTGAGGGTCCAATTTTCCCGCTGTTCCGTGTCCGTGGCTCCCCCCCAGCCGGGCTGTCGGGAAGGACAAATGGAGCTTAATTCTCTTTGCTATTTAGGACGTCTATATATAAACCCAGGAATATGGGTTGTGACCCCTGGGGGGGACCTTGGGCCACTCCTCCTCCCCTTGCCCTACTTCTGGTAATTATGTTTTCCGAGTAGGTGCTTATTCATGGAACTCCTCTAAGAGAGAATGTCCGTAAATTCTGGAAAATGTGTTTTCTTCAAGCATTTTTCAGCCTGAGCAGGCAGCTATTACCTGCCAGCAGCATAAAAGTGCAGTTCCAGTGTGTCAAATGCTTTCAGATTTCCCTGCTTTGATCAGGCCCCTGTTTGGGCTGCAGTTTCCTCATCGTCCTCTTGGGAGTTCCCTACGTGGCATTTTTTGATTATTCTCAGCCCCAGCCAAGTTCTTCACGATCTTAAAGCAACTTAAAGCAGGGATTGAGCTGCAGTAACAGGGAGGGAGTTCACCTGGGCAGAGGCACTTAGAGAAACCCCAGCCCTGAGTGCTGCGGAAAACAGACCCAAAGAGGAGCAGGGTCAGTTCAGAGCTGGCAGGAAGGCTGGCAGAGCTGGCAGGAAAGCTGGCAGAGCTGGCAAGGGGGAGCAGCACCATCAGACAGCCTGAGGGGTGGGTAACAGTGAGCAGCAACCACGGCAGGACTCTGAGAACTGTGGCAAGAGCTGAGCTGAGCGGGTGAGGCAGCACGAGCAGGGCTGGGGAGGAGCAGCCTGGGAATGACAGAGGCACCAAAGCCCAGCAGGGAAAGGATGTTTTTGGAGCAGGAAGCAACAGAGCTCCTGGTGGAATGCGAGTCATCGAATCCCGGAATGGTTTGGGTTGGAAGGGACCTTAAATCTCATCTCATTCCACCCCTGCCATGGGCAGGGACACCTTCCACCAGCCCAGGTTGCTCCAACCTGGCCTTGGACACTTCCAGGGATCCAGGGGCAGCCACAGCTGCTCTGGACAACCTGTGCCAGGGCCTCCCCACCCTCCCAGCCAGCAATTCCTTCCCAATATCCCATCTCTCCCTGCCCTCTGGCAGTGGGAAGCCATTCCCTGTGTCCTGTCCCTCCATCCCTTGTCCCCAGTCCCTCTCCAGCTCTCTTGTAATCCCCTTCCATAAACTCCCCCACCAGTGCCAGAGCTGTTGGTCCATCAGAGCAGGTGGGACTCTCCACAGGGCCTTCAATCCCACTGATCCTGAGGGGATGCTCAGGATGCCCGAGGGCTCCTCTGTTGTTGGAAAGAGGGGAGGGAGAAGGGGCCACCCTCTTTTGCTGCCAAGGTGCCTTTCCCTGGGTGCTTCCCTGCCTCTTACTGTGCCTTTTCTCCCAGAGGATGTGCAGTGTGGTCCCACACGGCCCCCCTGGGACAGGAACTCTGTCAGGCTGCTCTGGTTTTCAGATGCATTTCTGAAACATTTCTGCTTTTGGGAGCTCCCCCTGTTCCAGGTTTGTAGCTCCCTGTCTGGGCTATTTTGGGAAGCTGGGGTGGCCACGGGCTGTGTGAGGGATCTGTGTCCCTGGCAGCTGTCAGAGCCTGGCAAAACGAGTGTGGGATGCAGTTATCCCTGTGCTGAGGATGGAGGAGATGCCTGCAGAGGACACCCTCCTGCCTACCTGTGCTCTCACCTGCTGCCCAGAGCTGGGACAAGCTGCAGAGGGCACAGAGCCTGGTCCCTGCATGGGGGGATGTCATGACCTTCACCACAGCACCCAGCAACCCAGGGCTGCTGGAAGTCCTTTGGATGCAGCTCCAGGCAGGAATGGCACATAAATGGTTTGGATGGCTGAGACCTGCAGCCTCTGAGCTCAGGCATCTCTTCAAGGATAATCAGTTAATTAAGTCTTCAAATGATAGAGAATCTGCTCCACATTAGGTTAGAGGCTTCACTGCTTAATTAACTTTATCCCTCCTCTAGATTTGTTTAGTTTCACCTTGCAGCCTTTGGCTCTCATTATTACTTTTTTAGCTAAATTAAAGAGCTCCAGACTACCAGAATCACCTCCCTGAGATGGCACTAAAGAACACGGAGAAAGTGGCTCTTCCTCTTCCCTTGGATAAATTACAAAGGTCAAGTGCCCATGACCCAGCTTTCTGCATAAAACTGCCCTAAAGGAGGGACCTCCAGAGGAGGCCATGGAGATGCTCCCAGGGCTGGAGCCAGGCTGGGAGAGCTGGGGGGGTTCCCCTGGAGAAGAGAAGGATCCAGGGAGAGCTGAGAGCCCCTTGCAGGGCCTAAAGGGGCTCCAGGAGAGCTGGAGAGGGACTGGGGACAAGGGATGGAGGGACAGGACACAGGGAATGGCTTCCCACTGCCAGAAGGCAGGGAGAGCTGGGATAGTGGGAAGGAATTCCTGTCTGGGAGGGTGGGGAGGGGCTGGCCCAGGTTGCCCAGAGAAGCTGTGGCTGCCCCTGGATCCCTGGAAGTGTCCAAGGCCAGGTTGGAGCAACCTGGGCTGGTGGAAGGTGTCCCTGCCCATGGCAGGGGTGGCACTGGATGGGCTTTGAGGTCCCTTCCAACCCAAACAGTCTGGGATTTGATGGCATCACTCCTGTCAGTCTCTGAACTGTATCACGTTGCATCCTGCCCTGGGGTGGGATGTGTCATTTTAGTAAATCAATCCCACCCCTGCTCCCTTGGCATCCCTTCCCTGCATGTCTCCCCAGTGCCTGGCACCCCTCCTGCCTGGCACAGGGATCCCCCCGAGCCTCACAGCTCCCCCAGCAGAGCAGCATCATGAATAAACAGCAGGAATAATTTCCTGAGGAAAGCAGAGCTTCATCCCTGCCTGTGAGGAGAAGGGCAGGATGAGAGCCCTGATTAGAATATTTATGCAATCCAGCCTTGATTAGATCCACCCCGACACAGCAGCCACGGGTGGATCCGTGTGAATCCCCTGGGAGTGTTTTCCAGGGGAGCTCAGAGCAGTTCATTGAGGGGCTGACCCGCAGCCTCCTGCCCTGCAAAGCTGCTCTTGGGTGGAAGGTCCAGGGGTTCTGTCCCTGCTGCAGCTCAGGAGAGGAGGATGAGCCCGTGCAGGGCCCTTGGCTCCAGCCCAGGGCTCACCAGGACCTGCAGGTGCTGAGCAGGAGGGTGGTTTTACCCCAGGTTTGGGAGGTTTTATCCATTTTAATCCCAGTGTCGGGTGGTTTGGGGAGTGTCTGGAAGGCAGACTCCTCTCCCCAGTAGTTTTAGATATTTTTTGCTAAATTTTTATACCTGACATGTCCCTCATTTCAATCAAATTGTTCAGCAAAACATTAATGACATCTTTTAGGAAAAATATTTGTTTTATTCCCCTGAGTTTATCCTCTTTTTGATTAAGTGATTTTTCTCATTTATTTGCAGTCCCTCTTCCTATTCTTTAGACCCATTTTCAGGTTGTTATTTTTCTTAGACACGTGTAGGATATGTTTTCATCTGGTCATGGTGGGTGTCCCAGTCAAGGTTTGGCACTGAGAGAACATCCATGGGTTTAAAAACTTAAAGATACAAAGAAAAGCAACCTTTATTTAGACACGGGCCAGAACAGGAGGTGATTACCTTTGGATCTTCAGGCCACTGGTGATAAACACACAAAACTAAAGATGGAAATATGAATACACTGATCCAGGTTGCCCAGAGAAGCTGTGGCTGCCCCTGGATCCCTGGAAGTTTCCAAGGCCAGGTTGGAGCAACCTGGGCTGGTGGAAGGTGTCCCTGCCCATGGCAGGGGTGGCACTGGATGGGCTTTGAGGTCCTTCCAACCCAAACCATCCTGGGATTGTGTCATTTATGATATGGAAACACTCCTGTGGACAGGAAGTATTTTTAGGAGGAAAAATGCTGCATTCGTGGTGGGTGTAACTTTGTGCTTTGAGTGGACACAGCAACAGGGAGACGGTCAATAAGCTGCCACACGATACAAAGAGGGTAAATCTGGGAGGAAAAAAACAGATGTGCCTTATTTTCTCTGCAAAATAAATCAGCCGGGAAAAAGCTGAGTCAATAAAGTTCCCTTTGAGCAGCATCCTTTGGGCTGCTCGGGAGATGGATTGCCCGGGTGTTAATTGGCCCTTTAATCGCTCTCTCCGCGCTGGGCTCTCTGCCCTCTGAATCCTGCTGGGAGCACTGCTGCCACCTCCCTGCCTCTTTACGCCTGTCTTTTATGGGAACGGGAGCTGGAAAAGGGTCTGAGAGTGCTCAAACTCTGCAGAGGAGCTGAGCTGTGCACCAGCCATTCATGGCAGCTTCCAGCCCTTCTCTGGGCCTTCTCCTGCCAGGTGTCTGCAATTCTCGTTTTCTGTTCCTTTCCATCTTTTTTGTGGTGGTAGAAAAAAAGAAAAATAAGTGGTTCTGGTGTTACACAAATATTCCCAATGAATTTTCAGCTCCATAATGAAGCAGCACCGAGTTAGACAGGAGTTTGGTTTCTCTGCTAATTAAGATTAAAAGTGGAAGTGGTGCAGCACAGGGAAAGCAACTCTTGGAAACATAAAAAGAGTTGGGGAAG